ATTATTCTTATTATTATTATTACTGCTATCATTTTTGTTACTATTATTATTATTGCAGTTTTTATTTCTAGTATTTGCTACAATTCGTATTAATTGTTAATTATGAAAGTGACGCTATATTCGCTTAAATATTTCGATTATTATAATTGGATAAGTGATGAAATGAAAGAATAAGACGGCCTGAAGCGACCTTGTTTTGATCCTTATCAGTTTCCAATCGCCAACTATTATCATTTTGAAACTTATGGGTCATTTTCCCATTGTTTCTCAAATTTTCATACATTTCATTGATATGCAACTTTCATTGCTGAAATATAAATATTATCCACAAACTTTCTTGCATTGTAATTTTTTTTTTTTGGAGCATTATTTCTCAAAAAAAAAATTATTGATTTACATATTTGAAATTGCTAAATAAATAATTGAATTTCATTTGTAGAATGTAATTCCATTTTCTTTTAAAACTGATAATATTGTTATATTCAATCAAAATATTCATTTCTTAATACTATATTAATCTATTTAATTTATATTCATTTCTTGATAGTATATCAATCTATTTAATTTACTCCACTTCTAATTTCATTTTTTTCATCATATTTTTTTTCAATTTTAAATCATTTAATCAAATTTGATATCTCCCCCTAGGGTTTTTAACAATTTTGATCGCACTTGAACATAATTAATTAGTCGATTAAACAGTAATCTTGTATTGCTTTTCGCTTATAGTTTTTGTCATAGCATATATTAATATTCTATTTATAAAAAATTAAATTAAAATTTACTTTCATTCGAATATTTTACTCTTTTAACAGAATATCTTTCACTTTTGTAAATCGAGAAAATCTTGAAATATTTTGAATAACATTGAAAATTTTTGAAGTTTTACTAATTCAATAAATAACAAATATAATATCTATATATAACATTATATACAGTAAATATGATAAATGATAACAAAAACGGTAATAATCGCTTTATCACTTTTAAATTTACAGTAATTAATATTATACACGGTTGCTTTTCAAATTATTTCCAATATGCTATATAATTTATAAATAGGAATTTTCCCGGTGTATCCCGTACAATTTACCAGTAAATAATATGTTTTAATTTCATTTTAAACACCTGTTTATATATATATATATATATATAAACAGAATTTATGCATATGAATGTATTTCAGCAATAAATTAAAATGATTGCATTCCAATCTTTGTGATAATATCTTTCCAATAATTTTCAGCATTAAACGAATTGATTAATTATGTGATTAATTAAATTTTATATGCATACTTTTCCCATAAAAGCATAAAAATATAAGAAGATTGAAATCCCCTTTCTTATTAATATTCTAAAAAAAAACTTTGGATTTTCTTTTAATTACTTACTTTACTTATTAAGGTATAAGTTATAGCAATGATAATGCTATTTTCTATGCAAAAATACAATTTTTTAAATTTTTCATTTATTAGACATTTATTTGAATAAATTGAAATGGTACTGATTATTTTAAAACATTAGTGCTGATATTTGAAATCAAAATTACAAACCTATGGATGGAAGATTGATTTAAAAAAAAAAAATAAATAAATAAATAGAGGAAGGGATAAATTAGGCAAATTTTCAAATGACAACTACTTAAGCCATCAAAAAAAAAAAAGAGCCATCAAAAAAAAAAAAAAGTCACCAAAAAATTTCTCCAACAATTTGCTTATCAGAATTAGCTTACCGGATTTACTTGTCATTATCAATCACCGTAAAACAGTTATATATCTTCCTGATTTTTTAAACCTTTGACGTCATCCTTTGATGTTCCGCCAGTCATTAATTGGCGATAAGAGATTTTATTAGATTTTACAAATTTATTTGTGAGCAGCAAATGATGAAATAGAAATATTGCGAATGTTTGCTATATTAGCATTTGAACCGTTTAAGTATTTCATTATTTTGTTAGGCTAATATTAAATTTATTCAAATAGCTATATAAATTAATCAACCTTGAAAGCTATGGCTTATTTTTAGCTTTAAAAATAATCCAAAATTTGGAGCATTTATTGTTAATTATTTGTTTTTCACATAATTAGATATTATATTAATTGCTACTATTAATGGCTTAAACAAACTACATGATTTTATATTTGTTTAGCTAAAAGTAATCTTTTATTTTGCAGACATCAAAAATGGATCAGATAGAAGATGACGATTGGTGGCAAATTAATAAAAGTGACTTTGTCAAGGATGACTGTCTCTTTTCATCATTTCCCTCTTTAGACTTACATTATGCTAATTGCTATAACAATTGGAATAGAAATGGCGATGCTTATCATGAAGTTCATTGTTTACCACAATCTAGTACGAATGAAGCAATAACAACAACAATAACAAATCAATATGGAAATATTATCAATGATAATGAGATGATAAGTTTGAATAGCATAAATATGCCATTGGAAGCAATGGAGGAGGAGCAGAATTTAGCTTCCAATCATTTTGATGGTAAAATTGATCTAAACAACAGTTATCCAAATGGTATGCTTTAACAATCATCAAATAATTGGAGATAAACTTCGAAAAAAAACACTTCAAAAATCACGAAATAATTTATTAAATATCATTAAATAACTTATAAAATCATTAAGTAATTAAAATAAAATAATAAATTTACATGATAATACAATAAATTTGTATGTATATATGGATTGTCACATCATTCACACTTTTTTTTTTGCGTTCTTTTTGGTTTTTTGCATATTTAAATTTTAATCTTACTGTTATTACCTTTTATTTATGCGAATAAATTCATGTTAGACCAATTACCATAAGAAAAAGATGAAAGAAAACATTGTATTTCTGGAAATTTTTTTTTATTTATTTATGAATTTATTTTGGGTTAGCTTAAAAAAAAAATGAAATTTTCATTTTTTTCAAGAATTTTTCTCAATGATTTTCAATAATTTCATTTTTTTTCAATTCTGGTAAACTTTAGATGAAAAATTCAAATTTTCTATCAAACAGTCTGAACATTTCATTATAGAACAATTATTTAAAACATTAAATTAAAATGTTTTTTTTTCTTTTTGTTATTTCCACTTTCTCAGTATTTGCTATCATTTCTTTTTATTTTCAATTCAGTGGCCATATTTGAGCAACGAAAATACAAAAAAAAAAAAAAGAAAAAAGAAAAAATGGCATATTTATTTGTTAACAATTTTTGAAATAGTTTTTAAAAGGTATCATATTTCATGTTAAATTTGTATTTGCTTTAATTAAATTTAATTAACAATGAAAATTTTATTTTTAGCATCAACAACACTATCTTCAAATAGCTCTCATTCTTCGTCATCTTTTGAACTTGAAAATAAAGGTATAATATTCCTCTTCTTTTTTCTTTTTAAAAATTTTAAATTGATATGATCTAATTTTCAATTATGAATTTGAAAAAGTAAAATTAAACTCGTAATTTGCATACAAACAAAATTTTTACCTGTGGAAAAATCTGCTTACTTGACACACATTTATTTGATTGAATAATTTTTTTAATTACCAATTAACAAAGGATATTTTATATTTTGTGAAAAATTGGCATTACTCATTTTAAATTGTTTCAGTTCACATAAAATTTAATTTCTTTTTTTCGATTATAAATGACTTAATTAAGTTTTTTTTTTGTCTATTTAATTTTACTTTAATTTTCGATGCTAATAATATGGGACTTTTTCAGCATGTCCTTGCTTCTCTAACATATTTTTCATGAATTTAATTTTCAATTCATTTCATTCCCCGCAACGAGTGTGCAAAATTAAATTTCATATAATTTTTTTGATTTTTTTTTTTACATTTCATAATTACGTCAAATACGTGTACTGGTGCGTAAATGAAATATACGAACGTAAATATGACAATGTATACCTTTTTATATCAATCTTTCCTACGATATAATAGTGGAAGTAACAAAATTGAAGTTTTAAAAATAAAGATTTAACATTTTTTCTTTTTTTCTAAAATTTATAACAATAAATGCTTTGATAATATGTATACCTCGGTACTTATATAAAATATATCATGTAAATTTATCAAAATTTTGATTATTAATTTTTTTTAAATCGTTTTTCTTTCAAAATTTAAAATATTTAGCATAAATTGCGAAAGTATACAATTCCATAGCATTTATATTCATAAATTAAACATTAAAACATAAAAATTGAAGAGTTTTTGAAATATTCCAAAGATTTATTAAAATTTGACATTTTAAAATGAATGTTTGATTTGTAATTTGTTTCAATTTGTTTTAATTTTCGTTCATTTACAACATTTTCTTTCCACATTTAATTACATATTTTATCATTTCATAGATTTATTTTAACAAAAATTATACCTTAAACATTTACAGTATTCTTTTATAATACGTGGCATATACATGTGTACGTGTATACATATCAGTGTAAGACATATTTTTTTGAAATTTTAAAAATTCAATAAAACGACATGATTTGTTTACAAATTCATATTTGAGTTAAATTAATTAATTTCAACATTTATATATGAATTTTAATGAAAATAACTTTTTGATTGATATTTTGCGTATCTTTGAGGAAGTTTTATGAATTGCAAAGCCATCAAAAGATGCCGCTTTAACAAATAATAATTCCTGGTAATTAATTCATTTTAATTTAGTAATATTTCATTCACCGTTCAATAGTGGACAGTCATTACTAGAAGAAGCAGATTGTCTTATGGGATTACAATCATATGCTAAAGTAAGACGAAAAATGCATGAGATGGCTGTTAAGCAAAAACTGATCACTGAACAGGTGATTGTGAAAAATTATTTTCACGCTTAATTAATTAGGCTCTCATATGTTTAAATATATGTTCATATATTTTCTTTTGATTAAAAAATAAATTATCTTCAATGATTTTGATTAAAAAATTTTAAAAATGATGAAATTAATTTTTTTATTCTTTGAAAAAAATTCGAAAAAAGAAAGAATTCTAAAATTAAAATTTGTTGAAAATTCGAAAATAAAATTTACAAGTGAAATAAATTTCATTTTACAACAAACAATCTTCATTCCTAATTTTATACCTACCATTAGAACTATCTTAATTTGATTTCAAATCATTTAATATTATTTTTAAAAATTTTAGTTTTTAAATATATTAAGTTTAGATCTAATGTATGAAATATTTTTAGTTGAACAAAAATTTGAGACTATGAGGATTGCTTACATGATAATATTTCATAGTTTAATTTTTTCCAGGATCCAAAAGGTTACGGACTTCTACATCTATCATCCGAGGAAAAGCGGGCATTACTTCAGGAGGGCTACAAATTGCCAACGACGTTACCATTAACAAAATCTGAGGAGGAAGCGCTGAAAGTTATCAGGCGGAAAATTAAAAATAAGGTTAGATTACAGTTTATTATTTTGAAAATATAAAAATTTTCTCGTAAAAATTTTTATAAATCTTTTCTTTAAGGTAATATTTATTCTTTATTATTTCGCCGTTCCATGTAAACTACTAAGTTGAAGATATATAATTTGAAATTTGAATTGAATTTTCCATCCATCAACTAACTGATTACTTTTGTTAACATCAAACTTTATGTTTGCTTGTTTTGTTTTGATAATTTATCACTTGTTTATTATTATTTGCTAATTTGAATTTGTTATTTTAATTACAATTTATTTTACTTCGTATTCTATAAAACAATTCCCAACAGCAAAATTTAAATAATTTTATACTTAAAAACAAAGATTACTATATTTGATGCAAATTACCGTTATAGCAAAACAATTAATCTATAATATACAGAATTCTTTAAGAAACACGTGAATTCATTTGCTAATTATTATTTCGTTTTTTTAATTTCAAATTTAGAATTCTAATTTTTATTATTTTGGATTTTAATTTCTGCATAATGTCTTTTTTTTTCATTTTTAATAAATTACGATAATTTTTAGCTGTCTGCACAGGAAAGTCGTCGAAAACGAAAGGAATATATGAATGCGCTTGAAAAGAAAATTCAATATTACCGTACTGAAAATTCAGCGTTGAAATTGAAGGTTTTGTGAATTTTAAATGAAAAAAAAGAACAAAAAACAAACCATATTTTATTCAATCTTAAAACTTTCAATTTTGTAGTTGGTTTCAGTTAATTTTATTTAAAAAAAAACGATATTAAAATTTTATTGCTATGAAAGATAAAAATAGTAAAAGATAGTCCGGATATTTCGAGAAAGTTTTGAGGGTAGTTTGGAGAAAATGTTTACCTGATTAAATCATTTAAAAAAAGCAACAAGTAAAATTATTGATAAAACTTAATCAGTAATGGTTAAAATTTGGATTGATTTTTTATAGCATTACATCTGATAATATTTAGAAGGCTAGGAATGCTATCAAATATATTTGCATATTACTTTACTAACAATCATATTTGTATGATCATATTACATTGATAATTTTTTTTATCAAGATTTCATTTATCAAATTTTAAGGTAAAAGATTTGGAGCAAAGGAATCGTAGTTTATCCAACGAATTAAGTAATTTCAAAATATCAATTGCATCAAATAATAGAACGGGACATGTCTAAAGTTTAATATTGTAACAACAATTGATTGATTGATAAAAATTATTTTCATTTTGTTTTTATTATTTAAACTAAAAAAAATTTAAATTTTTCTGCTAAGAAAAAAAAAACGGACTCTTTTATAAAATGTTGACATATATTCTACAGTTGTATTAAAATTCATTAATTATCTTTATGATATTTTTGTCCGAATATTACCTATGAAAATTTCAATTTCAAACTTTTATTTCTTTTTCATTAAGATTTAATTTTCATTGAATAGTTAAATTAATGAAATAAAAAAGAAAGTTTAATTATCTTTTCTTTTTTTATTCATTTATTAATTTGTGAAATTTATACGTGTATATATATGTGTCTGTGACTGACTATTCAATTTTATCATTTTATTTATTCGTTCAACAAAATTTAATTAACTTGAATTATTTAAACATTACTATTTTTTTATTGATCTTTCCTTTTTTTTTTCATTTCCAGGTTTAATTTTATGATAAAGTAATGATTGTAAAAATTTCTATTATGCCTGTGTATATTATAATCATATCATTTATGAATAATTGAATTATAAATTAATAAAATAACTAAATGGACTTTTGAATATCTATTACTTTTATTGTTTTTAAATGGAAGCTTTATTATTTATTGCAATGTTTGATGTAAAAATTTAGTTGTAAATAAATGCTTATCAAATAAACCTTGAAAATCTTATAATTACTTATCAGATAACCTTAAAAGCATCACAATATTATGTTTTAATTTCAAAGCTGGACTATAACAAATGTTACAGTAATACATATGAAACTTTTATTAAATTTTTATTAATAAACTAAAAACTTTCATTAAGTAACTAAAATTATTCCTTGATATTTATGTTACTAATAGATTCAAATGATAAAATTGAATTACTGCATTGGATCGCTTAACTTATTAATCATAATTATCCAATTTACAATTTGCTAATTACAAATTTTCCATATGTTTTACTAATGAACATATACAACAGATTAAATATCAAATATTTTTGGAATACAACGATCAAACACCTCTTCCAATAATAGAAATTAATAAGTGAAAGTAAATTGAGGCTTACTTGCTAATATCACTTAAATTTTGACTTGTTCAAAAAATAAATAAATAAATAAATAGAAAATACAAAATGTTAAATCTAAATTTTCAAGTCACAATTGAGTGTCAAATTTCCCCATAGCATAGTTTATTTTGATCATTTTTAATCAAATAAATTAGTAAACAAAATGACGAATGACAAACGGAAGTTCTTTGACCTTTTTTTTTTTCGTTTGTTTATAATAATTAGTATATATTATGATAATAAATTTCAATACATTTTTGAAATTTTTTAAATAGAAAAATCTTTAAAACAAATCATAATTGATTCATTTCATAAGTTACTTATATCATTCTTATCATTACGTTGATAAGAATGATAGGTTTCTGTAACAATACCTTCATTTGCCATGCAGCAAATTGCTGTTACACTCACAAAAATAATAATTTATGTCAATTTTTCCTTTTTTTTTATTTTGAACAGATTAAATTAATTCGGTTCAATTGTATTAAAACGAAAATTAAAATAAATTTAATTAGGTGAAATTTAATCAAAATTAAAACAAGCTAAATTAGTAATAGAAATGAATTTATGGCTTTACTTTTTTTTTTTAATATATTACGACTAGAAATTTCATGGTAAGTAAAGAAAATGCTCTTTTATTATGCATTAATTACAATTAATTAATGAATAATCTTCGGCTAAAAAAGAAAAAAAATTAAGCTATACAAAAATTTGATTTATTGAATTAAATCAATTTTGAATTGGTTAAAGTAGATTTAAAAATTTTGTGATTTTTCACTTTTTTTTTTTAGCATATTTACTTCTCTGATCTTTTTCATAATTAACTTTTCGTTTTATATATATTTTATTTTAAAATTTGCCAAAATATTTGTCAACATATCAATGAATGGAAATTATTAATCTTCTTCATATTTTTATTGCTTTTTTTTTTTCTTTCATATCTTTCTAAAATTAAATTCCTATTCGATGTATTTTGAAATCCGCTAAAATATTTGTCAATTGTAACAATGAGTGAAAGTTGACACTCAGTTTGATTAAACGAGAGAAAATGAACTAACTATACATGATTACTACTAGTATATGACCACACCTGTTTGCACGGATAATTATCTTTACTAGTTCCATTCATCGTTGCATGTGATATTCGTCATAACCAGCTGTGTCATTTTTATCGACATGCTATTTCCACTTTTCATCCTTGTTTTAACTATTTTAAGGTAATAATTTTTTAATTAAAAAAAAACAAAAAATAAAATTATCCGTTAATTTTTTTGTTTAATTCTTTTTTTTTAAAATTGATTTTTTGAACATATCAGTGAAAAGTATATTGAAATGCACCCATATAAATTTTATAAATTCATACAATAGGCATTAAAGAGTTGTCTGAACACATTTTAATTTCGAATAATTTAATTAATACTACTCGAATTTTCACTTAAAATTTATTCATTCATTTCTGCAAATTCATGTTTTCCATTTTTCTTTTTCACGGAATAAACTTTTTTTTTGACAATAATTTAGGAATACTCGAAAATTTGTTAGAAAATTTGGAAGTTTACATTTGCTGTTTATCAAAAAAAAAAATTGAAATTGGTAAATTTTGGTTTTTGGAAATTTGGAAATTGTTTTCAAAAAATTATTGTTTGGTTAGCTTGAAAAAAAATAATAATAAATAAAGCAAAGCTATGATACAACTTGTTCATTTACACTTCATATATTGTTGGCTTTTCTATTGCTCATAAAAATTAATTTAAGTTGTAATGAATAATTTATGATTTGTGGATCTCATTTCTTGCAATTATTTAACAATTAAATGAAAAGATATACTTAGGAAAAGCAGCCAAATATTTATGTTAAAATTATTATTTACTGGATTAATTAAGTACCGAGTATTTGAAATTAATTAACTATAATTCTCGATATAAAAATGATTGCCAGTAAAAAAAACAAAAATCGATTAAAATAATTTATCATTTTCTTGTCCTGAAAAATATCGATTATATTGATGCACTTATAAAATAAAAAAAAAAAAGAAAAAAGATTGAAAATAAATAGTAAAATAATA